AGCAAATTTTAAATAAAACTCACCTGGTAGTTCGGATTGATGATAGCAAAATCAAAAAGAACGTAGGTCGAGACTTGACTCCTCAAATACCTACATTAAGTCAAGATGCTACAATAAACATCTATCTTGACCTAAAAAGGAAAACACAATCATACTTAGTCGAACTTGATTCGACTAAGTTGTTCGTGAAGTCCTGTGGACGTTGGAACACTTAGACTCGACACTAAGACTCAACCAATTACACATGGGAGTTCACATAATCTCAATCAAAGATTGACCAAGTCAAACACACAAAGAAACAGGAGGCGAGTCGATTTACAGTTTTTAATGCAAAAACCATATATTTGAAAATACTAGTTTTTAATCACAAAAACAAGTTGGTCAGGTTATCAAATGAGTTAGGCTCTAAACATTTAATAAAACATTCACCTCCTAGAACTTAGTATAAACACCAATTTTCAGCCCCAAACTCAAAGTATGCTATTTTATAAAATTCAAGCAAGTTTATAGCAAAAACGAGCATAAATTAACAACCAGATCAAATGAATGAATTAGCCTATGAAATTTTTATCCAACGAACCTCAGTATGAGAATAACAGTGTATAAAATTCTCAGATTTGAACACCTAACATGCAAATTAATAAAATTGTTACAACATTCAGCAGTTTTCGAATTTTCAACAGAACTGAACCTAAATGAACTCTAAAAATTCCAATATTTAAACAGCATGAAATACACCATAAAAAGGCACTTCAACGAAAAATCATAATTTTTCAGCATCAGATCAATTTTTCATAATTAAAACAATTTCTGGCAGAAAGACAAAATAATTTATTTACCTAAGCTAATAGAGTCCAAAAATTATGAAACTTTTACACAGCAAGCCAACATTCTAGAGACACAGCTTACTCGAATTTCAGCCAATTTGGAGCACTACACAATTTATTATGCATTTAACATGAATCTGACCAGAAATCATCTTAATTTATTAAAATAGCTACAAACCAAATACAATTATGAAATCTTTACACGAGTTACATAATCAACACAGAAATCTTCACACAAAGTTTCACATCCATCGGATCAGTATGCAATTTATTATGAATTTATCCAATATTCAGCAACTAGTTAGGTTTCGAAAAATCATAAACGACTCAATATTCGATCAATTCGTCCAAGGCCTTCGCCATAAGACCAATGACTCGACAAGTTCTATTTTCCACAGTCCTCAACACGAATTATGAGGTCTCACTCGATTTATCAAAATCGAGTAGATCGACTACATACAATCCACACCTTGAACACATAAAATCATAGGCATTTATATATTTCCATAGAACACATAAAATTTGTAGGCCCATATACATATTCGCAACACACGTTCAACACATCATCAAAACACGAAATTAACGAGAGGGATGAGCCTCGGTACCGTTCTCAAGATTACGCTCGAAAAACGGAACGAAGGGTTGACGGCTCGATTTGCGCACAACCTGCTCGCGGGGTGAATGTCTCGACCGCTTGCGCTTGGGCTCGCCGGCGGAATTCGCTGTTGGTCACGGGCTGAGAATGGCGTCACGCGGAGGAGCAGCGTCGTGGGAGAGGGTTGCTGCAACGACGAAGGTGATGAACTCGCGGAGGGTGCTCGCGGCTTGCTGATCGCGAACAGGGAAGGAGTTTCAGCAGCTCTTTACAGAGGAGAGGGCTCACCGGCGATCGCTCGTGGCCTGGTTATGGCAACGATGTGATGATGGAATGAAGACGACGCTCGGATTTACTGCGTCGAGAGGATGGCATGGGATGATGGCAGCGATCAGATTCTGTCGAGAGNTCACAAGAAACACACACAACTTAATGGGCGGACCGGGTCGGGTCGTCGGGCTCGCGGGTCAGCCGGCTCGCCTAACGGTTCGGATTTCAGTTTTCTCAGGCTCGATTAAGACGCACGATAAAATAGATAAACCGGATTTTTATTTATATATGTAATACAAACAATTAAATATAAAATAATAATATTAATAATAATACAAATACACACATTTTAATATAATAATAATAACATTTAGACTTTTAGGTATTTAATTACAATTTGGCAAATAAATAATATTTAGACAATTAGACATTTATTCGACATTTAAACAATAAATAATATTAGACATTCAATAATAATAATAATAATAATAATAATAATAATAATAATAATAATAATAATAATAATAATAATTCCCAAATATTCCATAATCAAACGGGGCATTACATTTTAGGTCGATCACGGCGGGTATCACGGACTGTCACACGAGCAAGTCTTTTGTTTGGACACCACAGGCTGTGGATGCTTTTCTCTTATCAAGAGAAAGTTGACGTTTGCCCCCATCTTGGTCTTGCCTGATTTTTAGCGCCCTTTCAAGCTCTCTTGCGACGCCTCGAAGGTTGGGATTAGGGTTGTCTTGATCCAGGATGCGCGACCCGTCTCATTTTCAGCACCATCGCTCGGGGGTGTCTAATGCGTTGCGTATGCGTTGAGTCGACGTTCCCTAATGTTGACGAATTTTCAAGTTTTGATTTTGGTCTTTTACTTGTTGCCTGAGCTTTATGCGACTGATACCTTTTTGGGGCCGATCTTGGTGTGTCTTGCTTCTGGTCCTTTTGAGGACAACATGGTATCTGATGGGTTTGTTTTTCAGGGCATACGACTCTATCTACCGGATTGCAATCTCTATCTGAAGTTGGTTGTCGACCTTCATAGCGCGGGTCACGTGGGTCGAGATCGTTCCATTGAGTTAGTCTAGCGCAATTTTTTTGTCTGTCTTTGTAGCATGATGTGTCGCACTTTGTGAAGCGCTATCGGCTCTGTTAGGTGTTTAAGGGCGTTGGGTCTAACGTCGGTCTTTATCGCCCTTTGCCTATCCCGTCACAGCCATGGTGTGCAATCAGTATAGATTTTGTGATACTCAGTTCCTCAGCTTCTTTTGGCATAGTTTGTGGTGCGAAGCTAATACGCGGTGGATTTTAGTAGTTCCTATCACCCGCAGATGGATGTTCTTACGGAGGTCGTTAATGGTTCATTTGGGAATTTGCTGCGTTGTTTGGTGGGTGAGATATTGTGGTGTTGGGATCAGAGGCTTAGTCAGGCCGAGTTCGCCCATAATTATACAGTTAGTCGTGCTACACGCTTTTATCCATTTAAGGTGGTCTATACGGTGCAATCGCGTGGTCCCGCGGATTTGGTGGATTGAGCCGAGGATTTTATGATGGACTTGTAGCAGACACATGCGAATGCTCATGCTAATTTGGAGGAGGCAACTGTTGCGTATAAGCGTCATGCAGATGCTCGTCGACGCCATGTGGAGTTTGAGGTGCGTGACTATGTTTGGGCTATGTTGAAGAAGGATCGATTTTCTGCCCACGAGTATAATAAGTTGTCAGCTAGGAAGAGAGGCCTGGTCGAGATTGTGGAGAAGATCAATCCGAATGCTTATCGCCTACGTCTTCCTTCGCACATTCGCACTTCGGACGTGTTCAATGTCAAGCATCTGGTGCCGTTCCACGGTGAGAACTCCGATGAAGACGAGATTGAGCCGAATCGAGGGCGATCCTTCTCAACCGGAGGAGAATGATGGAGATGAGATTGCGCTCGCCTTCTTGGAGACGCATGATCGTCTGGCGTCCTTAATATAATTATTTGTTTTCCTCTTTATTGTTACAATTATTGGTTGCATATTTTAGTTTGGCAGATGAATATTTATTTATTTACCTACTCTTTTTTTCTTGTTCGGTAAATTAACTAATTAGGACTTTATGAGATTCTATTAATTGACTTTTTATTCATTGTGGAGGGTTGATCAAGTTTTATGAAATAAGAATATTCTTGAGAGCGGATCTGCTCCCCTACCCACGGTGGACAGAGAATTAATACTCCCTCTGTTTCGTTTTAAATGTCGTTGTAGGGTGTCAACTTTGTTGCAAATTAATTGTCGTTGGAAATATTATATTCATTCTTACATCTTTATTCTCTTTAACAAACTTTATCTCTTATCATTATCTTTAAAAACCACTCATTAATAATTCAAAAACTAAATTTAATAAGATTAAAAAATAAAATTATTACACAACCCATTAAAATCGTAATTTAGAAGTTTTAAATGAAAACGACATGTAATAAGAAACGGAGGGAGTATGTTCACTGCTTATGTGGCATGTACACATTGGGCATAAGCAGTGGGAGAGAATTAATATGCCCAATGTGTACATGCCACATAAGCGGTGGGCATATTAATTCCCTGCCCACCGTGGGTAGAGGAACAGATCCGTTATTGAGAGTTTTTATCTCTTATTTTTCTAATAGTACGCTTATGATACGTCAACCTTAATTATAAAGATTAATATAATTATTATTTTATTTCATATATATTCAATATCGAATTAAAATTTTCAAAATATGATCCATTTGATGTATAACTAGTATTCAACCTGTGCATTTGCACAAATATAAATAAATTATTGTGAGTCTGTATGCATATAATGATTAATTATTTTTATTTCACTTTTTTGCAGACAAAATTTACAATTAAAAGAGTTGGAATATATTTTTTTTAAATTGCATTTATCTGATTGAATGTAATGTATATTTTGGTACGTCTTTTATTTGTGAATTATTTATTATTTATTTAGGAATTTCAAATATATTTTTTATTTTCAAAAAAAAAATTAAATGTAACAACAATAATAACATCTAATTACATTATACGGTCAACACATTATATGGTCAACTGTCATTAATCAAAAGTTTAAAATGATTTTTGTAATTTTGAAGTGATGAGTATTAACTATTTAATGATTAAATGAAAGATTAAATACATCAAAATGTAACGGTTTTTGGAGGGAAAATTGTTAAATTGCCACATAGGTAAAATTAAATAGGTTTTATTAAATGCTATTAGCTAGTAATTATATATATATAGATATATGCAAAATCGAAAACAAATATGATAGTCAATGAGTTTTAAAATAGACTCAAAACTGTGTGAGGACTGACCAATTATCCTACATCCTGAACTGAATCAAACGAAGCAAACGCGGGATTCTTGAACAAGTCTAATTTTTATCATGGCGCCAAACCAAAAATATTCACATCTTTCGCTGTTACCATTTCCCAAAGTTAATCATCGAGGAACACAAGCTAATCGGAGTCAGAATCCAAAGCCGATGCAGCCGAAGATCAATACCTTCTTCAAGCCATCTCCTTCTCCATCCCGCGATTTGTGGGCCGCACTTCCTCAAGACTCATCGCCAATGCCGGAAATCACCGTCACCTACAAGCGCCAAACGGCTGAACAGCTAGGGTATGTGCTCATATATCATTCAATTCTTCAATTGGATGTGCTTGAGATGCATTGATTCATCATCACGTTATATATCCTGTTTGCATAACACGATTTTATCAGCGCAATACTGTATTTGAGTAGAAATTGAAGTTGTATGCTCACTAGTTCTTGCTCATTTGACACTTCTTAAGTTCGTCAATCGTGTTTAATGTACTTCTTTATAAAAAAAAAGAAATTATGGGTTGGTGATTATTTGCTTTCAATTTGTAGCTCTTGGCATGTATGGAGATTATATGCATAAACTAGGACTGCGCTGCAATCCAGTAATTTTCATCCACTGTGTATATTTTCCTTGATGTTGAGAGTTTGTTTTGCTTCTATTCTAGTGAGGTCAAAAGTGGATCGAGTAGCCAAGCATTGGAGAAAAGTGATTGTGAGGACAAATTAGTCAAATGGGAGCATGCCAAGTGTAGCAAAAATCTAAATAAGAAGAGAAATTATGCACAGTTGCATCTGGAGGTCGGTCAATCTAATTTTCTATGGCGCACGTGTACAACTTGCAGCTACAAGTATGCTCCAGGGGTTGAAGGTGATGAAAAAGCTCACAAGACATTTCACAGGAATTACACACATGGGGTGCCTTTTAAGGTACTGGAGCAGTTTTAAGTGCTTCCTGTTTTATACTTGGGGCTTGTTCTGATTTTGTAAATTGTATAATCATTCAATTCTCAGGGCTGGCGTAGTGAGAGGATTATAGATGCGCCTGAGAAGGGACGCATTATTTTGGTGCAAGAAGGTGATCCTCCTTCTCAGCAAAATAAGGTAATGGATAGTAAAGAAATTTTTGCTTTGGCAGTCAAATTTGGTTCAGTTACTCTAATTTGGAGTGTTACTAATGGGACATCTAGCAAATATTGCAGGTTCAGGAGGTTGTGCAAATGATGGAAATGGAGCTTGGGGAAGGGTGGATAATGGATAAGCACTGTAAGGTAGTCAAAGTTAGGACCACTCAATTTCTGAATTTTTTAGGCACCAAATTTTATGTACAACCATTTATTGCTTGAGCATTTACGTTTTATCCTTTTCCTTTTGTTCAATAATTGAAAGTTCATAAATGTTCTATCATGCTTTACACAGTTCTCTATCATATTCTAGTTACATGCAACATAGTTTCTTTCGGAACTGCATGTGTGTGTGTGTGTGTGTGTTCTTGACATTTTGTTCCCCTTTTACAAATTACATCCTCATGGGAGCTCAAGGTCCATATGTGTGTTTTAGACTGTTGCACTTTTAAGTGAAATTAGTGATTTTGAATGACAGCCAAGTTTTTTTTTTCTTGCTAAATCTCAGGTCTCAGGGTAGTTTATTTTCTAAAGCCCAATATCAAAAGTTTATTAATCTTAAGTAGGTAGAAGCCTCATATTTTAGATAAACTTACATGCATATCACACGATAGCAGGTATATTTATTCATTTCATCACAACGGGTAACTGGGTGCCTAGTAACTGAGCCAATAAAAAAGGCCTACAGGATTGTCTCCAGTTCAAAGGGTGAAGACAGAACTGTGTCTGCAAAGAGAGAAAGGAAAAGTTCAACAGCTCTTCAATTTGGCAGTGTTAATCTTCAGAGGGAAATCGTAAAAAGAGATTCTATTGAAAGAATTCCAGAAGAAGGAAGCTTTGATGGCATGATATTACGCGAGGATGAGGCTGTGCCAGCCATTTGCGGCATTAGAGCCATTTGGGTCACTCCCTGTAATAGGAGGAAGCACATAGCCAGTAATCTACTTGATGCTGCACGGTAATGTTCATTGTGTGGCTTCTAATAAGTATCTGTTTGTGCGAATGACTAAAAGGTATACGTATAGGTAATTAGGTATGCAAAATCAAAAAAATTGAATTGCCTTCGAGTATTTTATCTCTTTAAACATGTTAGAATAACATCTTTCAGGTAGGGATTTCTTGCTAAACAGAAAAATGATGATGCTGAAGTTCAGTTCTTGAAAAATAATGTGGATTTTTTTCGGCATTAATCTAAACCTTGGGGGTGGTTTGTAATATCTTATTTCAAGGAAAGGGGAAAATTTTCTTCTGAAAGTTCCATTGTGAAAACAAGTTGTATAAGATTACTGTTTTTACATGTTTTTGGATTGAAGGGCTTACTTATTTTCACTTGAAACTGCACTTTCTTTCTGTTTTCCTTGATTATTGAGAACTATGACTTTATCTGCTGCATCCTCTTTGTTTACAGGAAGAGTTTCTGCAAAGGCTTGATTCTCGACCACATGGAGGTAGCATTTTCTCAACCCACCTCTCTAGGAAAGGCTTTGATTTCTAGTTATACGAGGACAAGCTCTTTCTTGGTCTACACTACAGCTGATACAGACTAGAGCCAGTTCAAACCTCAAAGTTACATATTCATATCAGTCTCTTTGTTCAGAGATTTACAGTTTCAAGGGTGTATGTACCTGAAACATAATTAGATAACTAAAAGTTTTTCGCATTGTTATCAATTTAAATACTTCAGCCGAAGATCTGATTAACCATTTATTCTCTTGAAAGACTGTCTCTTGAAAGACTGTCTTTGTTACGGTTGGGTTTCAGTTGAGTCGGGTGATCAATTGAACAGCCCATTTGAATGTGTGTATTTTGCATGAATTTTAATAAATCTTGGGATGTTATAATAATTGACTAAAAAATATTGAGGAACACATTACATGACTTTGACCAAGACGTAAACAATGTCAAGGGTAATTAATTTTTCAGTCAAAGAAGTAATCTGGTCGGTAGCACACATAATTACAACTATGAATTTTATAAATAGCACACATAATTACAACTAGGAGACAGCCAAATGTTGAATCTAGTGAGAGGACATCCCAAGGGAGCACAACGTAACCACCATAATCAAGAGAATCTAGATCTTAAAGGGATAATAAAACAAACGAAAGAAAAAAAAAACACAAAGAAACATAAAAGCATAAGCACACAAACCCAAAATACACAAAAACAACGAAAATAGCCCTTCCCCCAAACGAACCTCAACGGTAACACACGATCGACCACCCAAAAGATCAGACCACAGCCGAATTTCAACTCTAGAAACTGCTACACCCGGCCTAACTAGAGTCAAAACCCACAACCCCAGCCCACTCCCTGGCGGCCGACCACCCCACCGCTTGAGAATTTCATTTTTTTGGCATTTTGTTGAAGTTTTCTGGCCTTGTGGACTCTTGAATCTTAATAGAACAATTTTAATTAGTGTCGTACAATTAAATTTACAGCATAGTATATATAATTAAAGTAGTTTTTTTTTTTCANGTTGAAACAAACAGTGGAAACAGCTTGGTCAACTCAGACAGAAGGAACCCCTTTCTATCAGCTTAAGGAAAAGGTGAAGCTTACCAGAATAGCTCTTCTTATATGGAGCTCTAAATTCAGAACCAAGAACCAACTGGACATTGATGCTCTTACTCACAAGTTAGAACAACTGCGAGATCACAAGCCAGATGATTAGGAAGGAATGGGATCAGACAAGGGCAGCCCTTAATAAAGCTCACTCTTTTGAAGAGCTTCACTGGCAACAGAAATCCAGACTAAGGTGGTTGAAGGAAGGAGATGGTAATACAAAGTTTTTCCATGCCTACACACAGCAGAAGAGGAAATTAAATGCAATATCCAGACTCATCACTCCCAGAGGCATTGAACTCACCTCCCAAAGAGACATTGAACTTCACATTTCTGACTTCTACTCAACACTCTTTACATCAGAAAGCAATTGGGATGGAGAATCTATTCTCCACCTCATCCCTCAGACCATATCTCCTGAAATGAACCAATCCCTGTTAAAACCTATCATAGAAGAGGAAGTCAAAGCAGCTCTTTTCTCTCTCAGTCCTGATAAGTCACCAGGTGAAGATGGCATGAGTGCTCTTTTCTACCAGCATTTCTGGACCTTAATCAAATCTGATGTTATGGAAGCTTTCAAAAGTTTCTTTCATTCTGGGCTCCTTCTGAGGTACTGGAACCACACAATCCTCTCATTAATTCCAAAGGTACCAAATCCTGACTCCTTGGGTAATTTCAGACCAATTAGCCTGTGCTGTGTCATATATAAAACTCTTTCAAAAGTTCTTGCTCAGAGATTGATGGCATGCTTAGATAGCTGCATTAGCATTCAACAATCTGCATTTATCAAGGGAAGGCAGCTTACTGATAATGTCATCATAGCTCAGGAGGCTTTTCACTTCCTAAACAGGCATACTACTGGCAAGAATTACTTTATGGCTTTAAAACTAGATCTCATGAAAGCCTTCGACCGAGTAGAGTGGAATTGTTTGCACAGAATTATGCTGAAAATGGGGTTTAGTCCAACTTTTGTCAGGCTTATCATGATTTGCATAACCTCTTCTACTATTTCTTTCAAAGTGAATGGTACAATCAGTGGCTTCATTTCTCCTACTCGAGGTATCAGACAGGGGGATCCTTTATCCCCCTATCTCTTCATAATTGTGGCTGAGCTGCTCACAGCTTTGGTGAACAATGCATAAGATCAGAGCCTCCTACAAGGTCTTAAACTTTCCAGGAATGGACCAGCCCTCTCTCACTTGCTTTTTGCAGATGACTCTCTGTTCTTTCTGAAGGCTGGAGTGGATCAAGCTCAGCAGCTTATGCTTATTCTGGAAAAATATAGACTATTTACAGGGCAAAGGGTAAATCTTGATAAATCTGCCATCTTCTTCAGCAGAAATACTCCACAGCAGCTCAGAGACTCCATCTGCAGGGAACTTCAAGGCATTGTCTCTCATAGATCAACCAGGTACTTAGGCTTGCCATTGGGAATAGGAAGGACAAAAAAAGAAGTCTTTGAATATATCATCACAGCCATCAGAAACAAGTTGCAAAATTGGAAGTCCAAGCTCCTTTCAGTTGCAGGAAAAGAAGTGCTAATGAAATCAGTTCTTCAGGCTCTCCCAATCTTTTCCATGTCATGTTTTAAACTTCCAGTCTCAGTGTGCAGTGAAATTTCCAAATTGTGTGCTCAATTTTGGTGGAAGTCAGGGGATCAACAGAAATCTATTTTGCACTGGAAAAAATGGGACAAGGTCACACTACCTAAGATAGCAGGTGGCTTGGGCTTTCATGACATCAAATTGTTCAACAAGGCCTTGATTTGCAGACAGCTTTGGAGAGTGGCTACCAACCCTAACCTGTTGGTAAGCCAAATCCTCAAAGATAGATACTTTCCAAATGGCTCATTGATGAATGCTGAAAAATCACAGAAAGGCTCTTGGATGTGGAATTGCTGGCTCGATGTGCTGCCTCTTTTCAAAACCTGTGTCAGAACTGAAATAAGAAATGGCCTCTCTACAAGAATATCTGATCCCAACTGGGTACCTAACCTGAACAAACCTCACCCCACTCTGATAGACATTGCAAGAGGGCATCTAGTATGGGTCAAAGATCTTCTCCAACCTGATGGCCTGTGGCATGAATGGCTGGTCAGACAGGTGTTTGCTGCTTCAGACAGTGAAGCCATTCTCAGAATAAAGACTTTAAATCCAGGCAGACCTGACAGATTGTATTGGGGCCCTGACTCCAAAGGACACTTCACTGTGTCTAGCACCTACAAATTTCTGGCCAAATGCAAGCTTCTGAAAATGGACATTCCTCAATCCAGCACAACTTCAGAGCCCCTTTACAGAGCCATCTCCAAATGCTGGAAATTGAAAATTGAGGGCAAACTGAAACACTTCCTTTGGAAGTGCCTCACTGATACCTTACCTGTAGCTTTCAATCTAATGAAGAAGGGAATGGATGTGAGCATTATGTGTTCTATCTGTGGCAATCACCCTGAGACCTTAGAACATATACTCTTCTCTTGCCCAAGAGCAACCAGGATGTGGGAGCTTGCACCTGTGCAGTGGGATGGACTTCAACACCTAACAGGCTCATTTTCAGATTGGTGGCAACAGCTTTGTAAGATCAAGAAGACTGAAGTGGTTGAAGATCGAATCCAACTGTCAACCTACTTGCTATGGTGGCTATGGAGGTCCAGAAATCTTTGGGTGTTCCAACATTCCCTCATGCCAGAGCACATTGTCATTAGAGCTGCTCTTCGAGACTGGATTGCTTTCTCCTCAGTTGGTTAGGATTTTTTAGTTTTGTATTGCTGTTGTTCCTTTTCTTTTTTTCTGTTTCTGTTTGGTGAACTTCATGTATCCTAGCTAGGCTTGATTGCAGTGGGTAGGATTATGAGTTCAGGCTGTATTTTCTCTTTTTGGTTGTTTGTTTGTGTCTTGAGGCTCTAGGTGCTTTTTATAGCATCTCTCAGTTTTATTTTTATCAGTTGGGATTTTCCCAAGTTTGTAATTAGAACTTTGTTCTCTTGGTTTTAATATATGATCCCTATCGTTCTGGCAAAAAAAAAAAAAGAATATATAAAATATAATGTCAGTATATATATACTTACAACACAAACCGTAATGATGGTATATGTATTGTATATATTTTTCATGATTTTACTAAATATAAACCATACATATACCAAAAATATACTGAATATAAACCATACATAACAGTGGGAACGATACAAAAACGATAAAATATGAGGGGGGATGAAAATATACCGAAATATACTGAATATAAACCATACAAAACTGCAAAGTTCCAATTACATAGAAACGATAAAATGATGAAAAATTAATAACATGTTTCTTGTTGTGCTTGGACTGGCGCAACCATATCAAGCACCCTACCGGGACCAAGGGCCACCCCAACCGAAAAACTTATCCGTCCAGACCCACCACAAGATAGGAGCAGGGGAAAGCGCAAGCTGCAAAATAAGCCCCGACCACCACGAGGGCGGCAATCGGAGCCCGCCACCAAGCCCGGCCTTCACACCGTCCGAAATCCCAGCAACCATAGTGCCAGTCGGAGCCAAGGAAGCAGAGCCTCGTCGGTGGAGTGGTGCAGCTGCGGTCAAAGGAAAGAGGGTTTACTGTTTTAACGATGTGGGGATAAAGTTTCAGAGAGAAAATTTTGACTTGAAAAAATTTTTGAGTCGAAGTCCATATTGCACATTGGAACTGGATCTATGATATGAATTCATCTAATTTATTTGGAAAATTTTCAGAATATGTTGGAGCGTGTTGATAGCTGTCGATATTTATTACCTAGGGTTTGGAATATGGTTGTTATTTGGATAAGGATGAAGGTATATGTGCAAATATATTGGGTGATTTTGTATTTTTAGAAATAAATATTAATTAGATGTAAATATGTAATATAAAACAAATTTGGTAGTATGAGATGTAAATTCTTCTAAATAAAAAGTTGGCAGGCCTGGCCCAACAAAACCGCGGTCTGAGGCGGGCCCAAGTTGGACTTGCATTTCTTAGGCCTGGCCCGCTCCGCCAATAGCTGGGCTTTGACGACTACAGACCTTCACGTCTTGCCCTTCCTTTTTGACATTTCTATGTCTAAGCAGAAAACATTTAAAAAAAATGACGGGCTTGGCCTGCCAAACCCGCAGCTGAGGCAAGGATGGATTGGGCCTGTGTTTTTTACGCCCGCCGCACCTCGCTGATAGCGGTCTTTAGTGGGCTATAGGCTGGCCATTCTTGTCGTCCCGTTTTAACAGTTTTATGTCTAATTAGAAAATAATTTATCCAAAACTTTATTTTTGGCCCTTAAATTCCTTGGGTCGTTTACATAGTATTGTTCAGAGTTGCCTATTTTATTTTCTTCTAGACTTTTTAGGAAGTTTGAAGTCTTACAAAAACTCTCCAAGCAACTAAATATGAATAAAATTCATGGAGTGAGTTGGTACGGAGTTGGTGTGCAGTGTTCTCGCCTCTATATGTGTTGAACAAAAGTGTATTTTTTAGTTTAAACTATTATAATTTTATTTCCATTAAAATATGTATTTTTATAACATGACTTCGTATGTATAAATTTGTTTTTTCCTCTACACATGCTCCGCAACTCGTTAAAGGAACCGCATATTGATCTTGTAAAGTCAAACCATTAGTGAAAATAATTTCAGTAGTGAATTTAATAAAAAGTAAGTAAATGATTTTTAGTAGATCCCCCTAAAATAATAAGAAAAGAAAAAAGGAAAATAATAATAAATGACTTAGACAAGAAAAAGTGAAAAACAAAAATATACATCCGCGCTATCCAAGTGCTAGTTCGCAGTCGTTGTCTTCTTGAAAATTTCACTAAAATTGCAAAGACAAGTTTTCCCACGCAATTTCCCTTGTAATTAGTTTTGGACAACCTTAAGTCTATTATAGTATCCAGAAAAGGAAATCTGATTGCAGTATAACAAATTTTTTAGGGTGTCACTAAACACCGCCTCTCCTATCATTACGTACCGCCCTTTCTTGATTTCAAAAACCTCAAAAAATCGTAAGTTTTCTTAAACCAGACAATTTTCGATGCGAAAATTAATGTCCGACGACGAGGCGCGTTTTTTGGCCGACTTTTATTATTCGAACGGGACTACAAAAAATACGTTCATATTATTTATATTAGGTCATATATGAAATATATCAATTACTTTATGTATTGATTTTGTATAATTTGATTGTGCTAGACTTCCATTAGGTTATTTAATATGTAATTGCAATTATGAATTTTTAATTTAGTTTAATGATTCACTAAATTTTTAAATAAATGATATTTGAGGTGAAATTTTCTAAATCACATTTTTTTTTTTGATGACATATTTAGAGAAATGACATATGAACATTAAATGACACTAGTATGAACATTAAACGATCGTGTATTGTACGAGTGTTTGATAAAATAAACGATCGTGTATTGTACGAGTGTTTGATAAAATAACTAAGTATACAACACAAAAAGAAAGCTAAAAATGGTTTAGATTCTGAAATGTAGTTGAAGAAAGAAATTTATACTGAAATGTAATCGAAGAAATTTATTGTGGTTGAAGAAAGAAATTTATACTGAATAACTAAGTGAATTTACAATATTATTTTAAATTCTGAAATGTAATTTTCATACAGCATATTTATTTTATTTGTAATATTTTATTCAACATACATAAGATGATAATATGGACAGGAGACAAATTTGAAAAGTGAGATAATATGCACATTAAGAAGAGAATAAATGAATTTATATAAAATAATTTAAATATATTAAATAAATGTATTAATGATAATCCAAGCCTACATTATTTGGCATACAAAATTAGTCACTTTTATCTGAACAATATTACAAAATATTATATTCTGCCACATAAGATTACGAAACATAAACATCCACTTAGACTTAGCACATTATAAAATTATATATTAAGAAAATGCCATGTGAAAAGAATGATGAGACTATTTGACCGTCTTAAAGGAGTTTTTTTAATAAGTTATGTTATTTTTCATATTAAAACTCATGTGCACAAAAAATATCTTTTTACTTTTACACAAAAATAATAAATTAATAAAAAAAATATTTGTCATCACAAGTTTTTGTTAAAGGAGGATCATCTCCATATAAAACACGACTAGAAAGTTTTATAATTGATATTTTTATTTTACAAATTCAACATTCAAATTTTAATATTATTTATTGTGCTATTCATGTAATTTATAATATATATCTATCATTTTTTTTTTTTTTTCTATTTTTGATTTCTCCATGAATCCATCTAGGTAGCTCATTTGAGTCGAGTCTTTCATCATGTTCGAACTTGTGTTCATTTAATAAACGAGCCTATCTTTTGTTTCCAATTTTTGGAAAACAGTACAATGAAGAAAAGAAATATAATATGATAAACTATAAATAATAAGGGCTAGTATACCAAATGCTTATATTTCCTTGGAGTGCAAGTTTGTGCCCAAAAAAGTAGTGTGTGGAAAGCCGAATTATCCCCAGCCCACGTAATATGCGTTTCATTATATTTTATTCCCAAAAGACCCAAACCGCCATATTTTAATTCCCTTCTAATCCCCTAAAACCTTCCCCCTTCCACAATACATAAGCGCCACCGTTACTCATTACCAAACTCTTCTCTTTCTTTCTGCCCCTTTTCTTTTCTTTTTCTTTCTTGCATCGCCGGACGTCATGGTGGAAGGTGGCAGAGGGCCGTCGTTCCCTGTAGTGTTCTTCGACGGCGAGAGGGAGATAGAAATCGGCGACGTCAAAATCAACCCCACGCTCGAGTACAAGCCGTTCCAGCACATGCTCAGCCAGAAGATTGGGATATCGCCCAACCAAATGTCCATCTACCTCGTCTACAGAGGGAGGAACCAGAGGCCGCCTTTCTCTGAGGACCGGCGCCGGATCCCGATCACCGGGAAGGTCAACTTTGGGTTGATCTGCCGCCAGAAGGACTGCAGTTTCCTCGTCGTCTTGAAGAGATCGCGCAAGTCAAGGAGCCGCAGGGAAAGAACGATGAGCGGCGTCGATTTCCACGGTTTCTTCTCAGACAACGAATTTTCTCAGCCGCCGCAGATGCATCCGGTGCCGGAAAATCTAGTGCTGCTCCGGAGGAACCAGCCGGCCCCGTTCTATGACCAGATTACGCAGTCGCAGCTCTCGGATTTGAACGACCGGCTGCATAACCTGAAAATTCAGAGGGAGAATTATCAGATCGCGATGGGGAGGGGGAATTTGGATTCGCCGGGTTTCATCGCCGGCCGGGGTCATGAGATTAATCCGATGCCCAATCTAAGCGTCAATTCGATTGCTGGAATCGGCGATTGGAGACCGGTTACTCCCCCGCCGTTTCTGCCGCCGGTGACGATGGTAAACAATGGGAACAGAAGGGTTTTCTGCGAGGAGTGCGAGAAATCAGGGACGAACTGGAACACGACGTCGTTCCATCCGTGCGTCAATGATGCTGTAATTACTGGGCGCATCATCTCGCGTTTAGGGCCGATTAATCGGCTCGGCAAGGCCGCTCCGTCATATCCATGGCGGTGATTCAACTCTGGAAGAATCCGGTAGATTTTTTCTTTTCTTTTCTTTTCTTTTCTTTTTTGTTTTGAAAAAACAAAAATTAAATACACCTGGAAATGGTTTCCTAACGGTTCACGATATGTTTGTGAACGGAGGTAGAAATCTTGTGTGGCGTGGCGCACGATAAGACCCTCTAGTATAGTTATTTTATTTTACGCTGGCTTTGTAGGTTATTGAGTATTTCACTATATACCTCGCTTTGTAGATGTGTAGGGGCATTGCTACTTGTGAATTGCGCCAATGTTTGATTGATTGGCTTTTTAGGAGATGAGGGCATAATTGTAAATTGCTTGGGGTTTTTGCCCCCTTTTTTATTTTTGGACATTAATTATGAATTATCGCAGTATATTTTTTGTGATATTATGTTCCCAATTTTGGACCTGTAACTTGTCCTAATTATCTTCAGTCCATTTATACTGGTTCCTTTCTTATTGAAAATTTGAAGGAAATATATAAATTGGCTCACTAGTAAAAAAATTTTATCTTCATATTTTTGGACAAGATTTGCATATAGAATTGGCTAGTGCGGTTTTATTGATTTCTTTCTTATCGAAAAATTGAAGGAAATATATAATTGGTAAGAAACCTTTTTTATCTAAAGATATTTTTGGACAAGATTTGCATATAGAGTTGGCCTTTGCCCAAACAATGGCACAATTTCTGCCTTTTTTAACCTTATAAAAGATCTCTAATTACGTTCCTTCAAATTTTACACGCTTTAAATTTTGCACCAAACAGAACTAACTTATGCTTTACTTTAATTTCACAACTTATACATTACTAAGCCCTAATAGAACAACTTATGCATTACTTCAATTTTTTTAGCAATAAGGAATTTCTCTATGTTCTTTACGATGATTACAAATTATTTCTTTTAGTTTTATGTTTCGTTATATATTTAAGTATCAAAATAATATTTTTCAAAATGTATTTTGTATTTAAATTGTCTCATACCATTAAAAACTTCATGAAAATGAACTTTGTATGTTATTAAACACTTTCTTATGTATAACATTATTGGTTTGATTCTTTGGTACGTAAAGTACTGGTGTTTTGGAATTTATCCAAAATTGCATATTATTAGTTATTAATTAACAATTTAAAAAAAAATTAAAGGATCTTATTTATTAAACAAAATTAAAGTAGAAAAAAAAGTAAAATTTTTTAAGGACTTTCACCCATTATTTATTTTAAATCTAATTCTAAATTTCAATTAAGAAAAATTAAAAAGAATCATTAGTTACTCCTAGAAATGAAACCTATTTTTCTACCAATAAATCGATTTTTTTATCAAACAAATTGATCCGTATTTTTTTTAAAAACCAAATTTTCCTAACATTGCCCCGATTTTTGTACCAAATAAATTGAATTGAAAATAATTCTAATAAAAAATTGAAATAAACTGTTAATGTTTATGCAATTGTCTCTTTCCTAAAGAAAATTATATGAACTTAACAAAAAAATAATAATATAAACTTATCAAAATCTCGATAGAACATGTTTAAGAAAAAACATAATAATAAAAAAAAATCGATGCATTTAAATTTTAAAAAGTTGCACACAATTTTTCCTAAATAATTGGATAAAGTGACTTTAAATATAAATGATGAACCGTTTTCGTTACCAAAAAATGTGGACACAATTTTGGATGTACATCCCATCTAAATATCTATTTTATTTAAAAATAAAAATTGCACTTGACTTTATCCAATTTACACAAATTTTTTGAAAGAAAAAATTATTCAATAAGATTGGAAAAATTGATTAACAATTATACAACTATTTGCTTCCTAAATTTGTATCCAATTTGTACAGTTTTCAAATTATTTATATTAGGAATTATTTTCATAAATATTGAAACACATTTTTTGCATAAGAATGGGATTCAAATTTTGCCATAAGAATCTCCAAATTTGTTACCACAAAAATAGGATTTAAATTTTGTTACTAAAGATTCACATGTGTTTTTTCAAACTTTCCATTAATAGTAAGTCAAACAATATATTTATTTTGTCAAACTTTTTATTAATGCATTTTTTCAACAACCTCTTTATATATATATCGATATCGATATAGATATAGATATAGATTAAATAATATAATATATTTTTTAAACTGATAAATATTCAATCTATCTGTAATTAACTCGAGACATATAATTTTAGAATATTTGTTCTTTATTAAGTTTCTATCCACACTTAATTTAGACGTTAATCATTCTATGGCATATTAACATAAACAAGTTATTATTATTTTATATATAAAATGAATTATAGGTTTATTTGATTTTGATATGTTTCAATTTAGAATGATAAATATTAAATCCTGTTTATAAAGATATGCAGAATTTTACTTTTTAATATATATGAAATATGAGTCTCAAATCGAAAAATTTTAGAAATTATTGAATTTGATGTATATCTATGAAAATAAATTATAAATAAAAAATTTATAATTTTTTTTAAAGAAGATAACAAATTTATAGTAATTATTATATAAGTTAAATAAGAAAATAAATATAATATATGGTAATATAAGAAAAAAAAAAAGAAGGTAATTTACGGTAATTTTAAGCATAGTTGGTAATATTCAAGCACGTGTATTTGAGAATGCCTAACATGATTTTTCGCCAAATATCAGGTAATTATACGATGCTTGCGAACCTATTAATTACGCTCTACACGTTTTAAAAATATATATTGTAGGATAATATAAATAAGAGATAGCTTGTAAGTAGTCCATGTGGTTCAACTTTTTCCACAATAATTCATTCAATATAATATTTCGTCATAAAGACAAGTTAATATAATTTATGTTGTTGTGGCAAATTATGCTATTTTTATCGAGTACCGAATCGAAAGATTTATTTCCAGGGTCGATCTCTCGAGGAAGGTTAGCCGAAATATCTCGCACGTATATTCAAACACAAAAGAAAAACAAATCTTAAACACTCTAATTCAAAGATTAGTTTTGATTTTTATATATCTAGGAAATCTCAAATAATGCAAATTCATATTTCAACCCAAGAACAAGAATCGATAATGGTAAAGAGGTTAGGGAGTCAAGGGTAATTTATTCTAGTTCTAGACGCAAAATCGGGCGATTAATTGTTCGGTCCAAGATTGACGCTCTCGCTTAAACATCTAGCGGTTGACTATTAATAAATTTTTGTAACAATTGGACTATGCCAAACCAGTATTTAATAAAAGGAATCTTTTTGTATCCCAAATCTCAATTGGTAAAATTGCTGAACCCTTCAGAGACTCACCATCATCAGTGCATTCCAAACACAAAATAACTTTGATACAAAAGTGGCATGTGAATAGTAGTAGTAGCAGTGTGTTGTGGTTTGGAGATTAGAGTGTTTTTTTTATGGCATAAAGTGTGTAATTCAATGTTTTGTATTCTTTTTTTTTTTTCCTTCTCATTTTCTATTAGTTATTTGTAACTAACTGAGTTAGATGGTTCTATTGTAGTTTGTTGTGACTTGTGATACAAACATTTTTTTCTTTCTTATTTTGGGGGCTATGAGTCTNCAAACGATAACCAAATTCCATAGATTAAAACTCGAAAGCAAAGTACATCGGTAATCAAATGATTACAGCCAATAAGAGCTAAAAGTCTACTCCCGTGGCATGGGAAAGATAAAATCCAACCCTAACAAGGCATACATGCCCAAAGAAGCAAACAAAAAATTACAAAACATTACTAACAGAAGCATTACAAACTAGCAACAATTCATGGAGTGCAACAAGATCCACATTCTTCAACTCCCTTGGAAAGAGGTGATTCTCTATAATCTCCACCAGCTCTGCCATATGAATTAAGCAGGTAAAGTTTGAAATATGCATGTTTTTTACCTTCCTTAAATACCACAGCAGAGCCATAACAATGCCCTCCATCTCAGTCAGAGTTCATTCTAAGTTAGTCTCCCAGTGCTCTTGGTTACATCCAATAATTTCCACAATGCAATCTGCAGTAAATAACCCCTCAGCAGACAGTGAAGCACTAACAGTCAACAAAGACTTACCTACTTCCTTGAAAAAGTTGTCATGCTGTACAGATGCTCCTATTGACCCTCTAAGAGCTTTCCATTGTAGTGCATCAGGTCTGTTTTGCTACTCTAGCCACTCTGAACTGGCCTCCTCCACAAGGTTTTTCTCATGAATCCAATCCCCCTTGTATAACCACTCATTCCTTGCTTTCCACATGTTCCACATCAACATAGCAGATAGGCATAACCTATCCATTTTCAATTTAAAATTCCCTGCCACACACAGTTTGAACCACCAATTCTGAAAATCCAGCATTTTATTCTCCATACCCCAGTCAAGTCCACACAACTGCCAACATCTTCTTGCTCTTGAGCAGTTAAATAGAATATGGTTCATGTCCTCATTACTATCACCACAGTTAGAGTGGATGAGATCAAGCAACATACCTCTCTTGGCCAGTTGAGTTTTGCAACTGACATAGTCATGCCAACATCTACACAAAAAGATTTTAACCTTAGGCTTAAGAGGGAGTGACCAGGTTATCTTCCACATCTTAGTCAACTCCTTGCTATCCCTGCTTGTGCTTGCTCTGTCCTAAGAAGATTCTTTGAACTGCATGATAGTTTTATACACCCCTTTGATAGAGAACTTCCCTTGAGGATCCCAGTGTCAAATTGACCTGTCTGGAGTGCCAACCTCTGGAAGTGGTATATTCAGAATGTGGTTGGCATCCTCAGGTGCAAAAGTTTGAAGAACAAGGCCTTGATCCCATTCCCTACACTCAAGTTTAAATAAACCCCTCACTCTTTTCACCCTCTCCCTATCCACACTGAAATGACAAATGGGTTTAAATGGAGGAGAACTAGGAATCCAAGGGGAATCCCATACTAAGGTGTTGCTGCCATCTCCAACTCTCATTCTAGCCCCAAGATCAAGAGATTTTCTAGCACTAAATAAACTTCTCCAGAGCCAAGAATCTGAGGATTTAGGAGTAACATTCCTCAGTTGATTCCAAAAATATCTACCCTTTATGACCCGGCTTACCAACAAATTAGGTTTAGTAATAAACCTCCAGAGTTGTTTGACAAGTAGGGCTTCATTGAAAGCCACAAGATCCTTAAATCCCAACCCTCCCATCTCTTTTTCTTTTGTTAATCTCCCCTACCCAGCCCAGTGTATCCTATCACTACCACTCTCAGTTTGACCCCACCAGAAAGAAGCCACCTCTCTGCATATGATCTTGATGACAGACACAGGTATTCTAAAACAAGACATAATGTATGTAGGCAATGCATTAAGAACAGATTTAATCAACACTTCCTTTCCAACCTCACTAAGAAATTTGTTTTTCCAGTTTCTAATTCTATTCCTAATACACTCACTAACATACAAAAATACATCTCTCTTAGACCTACCAATACCTAGAGGCAACCCCAAGTACTTAGAGTAGGTAACCCTGGAGATGCCAGACAGAGTAGAACAAGTTTCACTACAGAGATCCTCCTGAGCATTTTTAGAGAAGAAGATAGATGATTTCTCAGAGTTCACAAGTTGACGAGAATCATGCCCATACTAAGAGAGAATGGAGACAATTAACTGAGCAAGATGGATATTAGCTTTACAAAACAAGATGGAGTCATTAGCAAATAGCAAATGGGAAATGGTAGGAGCATTTCTGCTAACTTTGACACCAATAAATTGATCAGCCAAGCAAGACTGTTTCACAAGATTACAAAAGGCTTCACAGATGAGAATGAACAAATAAGGAGACAAAGGGTCTCCTTGTCTGAGACCTCTAGTAGGTTGAATAAAGCCAAGGTAGGCACCATTCATATTGAAAGAATAAGAAGTGGAACAAACACATGCCAGGATCCAAGAGACAAAGATATCACAAAAACCCATTTGTCTACATATTCTAGCAATGAAAGACCATTCAACTCTGTCATAAGCCTTTGCCATATCAAGTTTTAAAGCCATGTAGCACTGATTTCCTTTTCTTTTACTGTTTAAGTAGTGAATACATTCATTTGCTATTATCACATTATCCAAAATTTGCCTCCCAGGCACAAAAGCAGATTGAGCAATAGAAATACAAGAAGAAAACACTGGCTTAAGCCTATTTGCCATCACTTTAGCAATAATCTTATAAACCACAGAGCAAATGCTAATAGGCCTAAAATCAGCTACCCTGGAAGGGTTTTTCTTCATAGGAATTAAGGTTTTTCTTCATAGGGTTTTTGCCTAGGGGTTTTTCTTCAAACCCCTAGGCATTCTACCACAATCAAAAAAATTAATCACAGCAAGGCAAACATGATGTTTAATAACAGGCCAGGATTTTTGAAAGAAAACTGCTGTAAACCCATCAGCCCCAGGGGCTTTATCCTGACCCATCTCAAACAAAGCAGCTTCTATTTCATCTTCCTCAACCTGTTTCACTAGGTCAACATTAATCTCATCAGTGATTGTTTTTGGGATCCCATGTAAATCACAATTTTGATCCAAAGGATTAGAGGATTTTAAAATCTGATCAAAATAATTCAACAATTCAACCACAATTTCATGAGAGTTCACACAGTAAGTCCCATCAGATTTAAAATACCATCTAAACTATTGGTGATTCTTCTTTGCTTGACACTAGCATGAAAGAACTTCGAATTATTATCACCTTCCCTGAGCCACTGAATCCTAGAGTTTTGATTCCAAAAACTTTCCTCACACTTATAAGCAAAATTCAAATCATTTTTAAAAGTGACCCACTCATCCCAATCTCTATCCTTTCCCAATTCCCTGAGAACATTCAGCTTGGCTTCGCACTTATCTATAGCCATTCTAGCATTCACATTTCTAGATTTATTCCAGTTCAGAAGACCCATTCTCACATGCTTAAGTCTATTCTGGATACTAAACAAAGCATGACCAGGCACATTATCATTCCATGTTTTATGAAGCATTTCATTGTAACTAGGGCTGCACACGAGTCGAGCGGCTCGCGAGAGCTCGAGTCAAAGCTCGGCTCGAGCTCGAGTTTGACCGAACTCGAGTCGAGCTCGAGCTCATATTCTACATTGTCGAGCGGCTCGCGAGCGACTTGAGATATATGGTAAATTACTCAAATACCCCTTATATATATAGTTTGACAAAGTTGTTTGAAAATTTTCTAACCGAACTCAAACCGAGCTCGAGCATTTTGAATTCGAGTCGAGCTCGAGCTATTGTATTTTTTTATCGAGTCGAGCTCGAGCCTAAAACATCGAGCTCGACGAGCTCGAGCAGCTAAAAAAAAATTTAATCCTACTCGATAAGGCCAATACTCGACTCGGCTCGACTCGTTTGCAACCCTAATTGTAACCCTCTGCATTTATCCAGTTAGCATAAAAAACAAATCTCCTTTTAAAACCCACAGAAACATGAGAACAATCCAGTAACATCATGCAATGGTCTGAAGATATCATAGTAAGGTGCTTAACATGAGAATTTGGGAAATGAAACAGCCAAGAAGGGGAAAAAAATAATCTATCCAATTTTTCCTCAATGAATAGATCTCTTTGTCTATTGTTGGCCCATGTGAAAGGGTGTCCAAGACAATAAGGTTCCATCACATTCAGGGTCCTAACAAAAGATCTGAAATGAGAAAAACTAGACTCATCTCTTTGGAGGCCACCTCTTTTCTCAGAATGATTAAGAATGTCATTAAAGTCACCACAGAGAAACCAGAGATCACCCCAACTGAGACTATGTCTAATAAGCAATTCCCACTGCCTAGCTCTCAAATCTGAATCAGTACTAGCATACACAAATACTGCCCAAAAGGAACCAGGAAAATTCTTAAACTTAAATTTAACCTCTATACAAAAGTCCTGGGTATCTAAAACAAGAAAAGAAATATTAGGGGACCAAGTCAGAAACAAACCCCCTTTTCTACTACAAGATTAACATAAAACCATTTGTCTTGAAGATTCAGCTTCTTGCACATGGTTTCTACAAATTTTTGTTTCTTTTTTTGTTTCTGACAGAAAAGCAAAATCTGGGTGGTGGGTCCTAAGGGACTCCTTGAATTGGAAAATTGTAGAGGGCTCTCCCAAACCTCTACAATTCTACAATTGTAGAGTTTTTTATCCTTACCTCCTACTTCATCAATTTTCAGAGGATCAGGGTCTCACTACTCCTTTTCCCTTTCCCTTTATTCCCCTTAGATGTCTCTACTCTCTCTGAAGAATCAATATGCATACTATCAGAGGTATTCCCTTTACTAATTCTAGGCCTTCTAGTAAAAGTGGTTTTTTTCCTCTGCCCAATATTCTCCCCTTTAGATGAAGGTTGAATCTCCACATCCACTAAGTTATCCTCTGTAAGAGGCTTGTCAGTGTTAGTGGGACACTCAATAACAGGTTCCTTCACAGCCGAGCTGGTAATGGACTGTTGACCAGACACCTTAGTGTTAGTAAGGTCTTCTGGTTAGTTACTCCTCCCCACCCTGAGATTTAATAATCTGATCAGGAGAATTACTAACTCTTTCACTACCCTCCAAAATGCTAGGAGACCTAACTTGCACTCGGGTCACAGAAGGTTCCTTATCACTAGACTGGCTACCTAGATTAATGCTACCCATAGTTTTAGGTTTAAATAAGAAGGATGGAGAAGCTCTAAGCCATTCCCCAAATTGTCCCATGTTAGACACATTGCTATTAATATCATCTGATTTGCAAGCACAGATTTTCTCAGTGATTGCTATTAATATCATCTGTTCGTGAAATATTTGATTCAGATTCCAGAAATTAAAACTCGTAACGTCAATTTTGGAAACCCAAATAAACCTTTCTCCCCCATTCCTGCTTCGACCTTCCCAATTCCGCCTTACCGTATGCCCCTCCAAAACATACAGGGAAAAAACATCCCAGAGCAAAAAATGGCAGACGACTTTCCTGCTGAAAACTTAGAAGACGGTGAGCTATGGCTTCCCTCCAATTTTTTCTCCATCAACGAAGCTCAAATTCAACTCCCTTCGCCAACCGTTCTTCCTCAAAGGCCACTTGCGTGGAGGGCTTTCAGAGCTTTGCCCACTCTGGCTTCTGCGAACCTCTCCCAACCTTAAAGGTGCGCGCATGCATGGACATTTTAGATCCTCGGCGAATTTTGAAGAAAATAACAAACTTACGTGTTAATGTTGTTCTGTCTTTATTTCTGTGTGCTTAATCCCTTTCCTTTTGAGGTGATTTTTGCAGCTATTCAATCCAACAGTGTTACGGGTACACCGGCGAGGTTCCTCGCAATCCATGTGACGGCGGAACTCGGAGAAATTGGACCGGGTGCTTGCCGGTTTGTCAACTTAATCGCCGGAACCCGGTCCAGGATAAAACTGGATTTTTTTTTTGTGGTGATTTGCATGTGGGTGCGCGTGTTGTCCTTTTCCTGTTTTCGCGATTCAGCTTTGACAAATGCATAATTATGGCTCGTTTAGTTTGTCCAAACATTTATCCAAACATTTATCAAAACAGAATGTTTGTGAACCCTACAATCTTTGAGTTATTTAAACTCAATTAATTAACATATATTAATTTCTCATTCACCTTAAAAAGGTTTTGAGAATTTCCTAAGTCTTCTACTTACAAAAAATAGAATCGTTAAATCGGTACAAAACCAATTTTTCTTAAAGATGAATTGTTCTCGACTTTATGCGGTGTTGGTGTTGCTTTTCCTACCAGCCTTTTGGATTTAGTCTTTTAGATTCAGAAGCCACTGGACAATTGATTGCTCATAAGAGATTGGGCTGATTGTTTCTTCTATTGCAAAAATTTTCACCATCGTTTCACAAAATATAAAATTGTTGTAACTTTGTCATTGAAACTATTTAAGTGCATCAAACTGTGCCTTGTGGTAAACATTTATTGGCTTGTTTCATATTCAGCCCAGCATACTGCTCAACAGGTTGCAAAAAGGAAACCCTTGATCACAGTCCCCATTTCATCTAGTTTTACATATTAGAAGTATATTTGAAAGAAAACCTTGATCATAATTAGAGCTTAACAAGGTTTTTTAGAATTAGAAGTTCCTTGATTGAATGTGCTACTAGCAAACTGTACATTGGGATTAGATTTTTCCATATATAATCAGGATTTAACTGTGTTTAAGGGAATGGACTGTCTTTGAAATTTTTGTAGTATGCAGAGTATGCATTGGATTGGCACTGAATATGAATCCTTATTAGACTGAGAAAAACCGTGTGATGTTACTTGGGAACTCACTCTATTCTAGGAATACAACATATAGTCGAAAATGTCTGATGTGCCTAAATAGTGATCATCGGCTTCTGCCTTTGTCGTTTAATCATCATATTTCTGAATTCGAACATTTGACTGGATTAAAGGGAAATGTTATCCAGCTAGTCATAATGTCCATAGACTGGGGTGGCCTGTGTTTCAGCACTTCAAATTTCAAACCATCTCTCCCTCTCCCTCTCTCTGTGTGTGCGTGTGTGTGTGTGTGTGTCATACATTTGTTGCCATTTCTTCAGTTATTGTCTTCGAACTCTTTAAATCCACTACACGAGTAAATAATGCTGCACATCAGAACATGGGATGAACTTGCTGAGCATCCTATTCTCTAGAATTTGTTGTCTGTCTCACTTCTTACGAGGCAGCTGTTAACTTGTGTCTGTTATCTGACAGGTGTAAACAATTCACACAAGGTTCGACTCCCTCCTCGCAGGATGTTACTCAACAGAAGACAAGAAGAGTGTGGTGTCAGTGTTCCTGCTGGTGAGCTTTACATGCCTCATTACTTTCCTCATTACTGGAACTACTGAGAATATATTTCTCAGCATATATTGTAACGAAAGCTTTTGGCTTCATAAGGTGCATGGCACCAGAAATGGAAATAGCATAAATGGACTCCAATAAGTGGTTAACATCGTAGAACTTCTGCGTTTGTAGTTCAGTAGAAATGGCTACCTGTATCTTTTGATCTTTTTATGTAAAGGAATATGAAACTGTTCTTTGCAAGTGTGATGTATGAAAAAGTGAAATATTTCAAGAAAGTGTAGTGAAGGTCTCTTAATTTGTCCAGCCTTATGGTTCGAAACTTCGTACATCTATATGTAGTATATACTTTTAGATTTTCTCAGGGGAACCATTTAGAGTTTGCAGTTAACTCTATTTAAGTTCTTCAAAAAGTTGAGATTGAATAGAAATTGGAGAGCTGTTTGCTGTTGGTTAAATTTTGAGCGAAGTCCTCTTTAAATTTTCATCGGGGAAGGCAAGATTTACACAGCTTCAAGAATGCTATAAGGAAATATATATAATATATGTGTCAGTTCTTATTCATATATGTATGTTCGGCTTTGTTCTGGAAAATTAAATTAGGAAATAGTTTTGATTCCAAAGAACGTAAGAAGCATACAACTAATAAAAACAAAACGTGACTGTTAATAAATCGTTATTTAACCTGACCATTGTAGGATTCCCCTGCAGAAAACCTCTGCACCACGAAGCATCCTATTTTCTGCCTTTACAAGACCTGGTGAGCATTCTAAATTAACGTAACGTGAGAACTTGGTTTTTGGAGGCAAGTGTGGAAAACTTTTCTGTAACATTGATGAGAAAGACCTTTTGTTCCATCATAATATTTTTTGGAATACTTGATCAATGCGAGCAGCCAAAAAAAAGTTTTTTAAAAGAATTAATAAATAAATAAAGGAAAATAAAGAGAGAAAAATGTCTAATGCTTTACAAGACAGGAGGTATTTGACCATTGTATACATATGCCAACACCCGCAAACCCACGCACTCACATGACAGAAAAACTTTAGCATACGTTCGATTCGTATGATTTGCCCCCATTCCCCTTCTGTTGGATATCCTCTACTGATCCTTGAGCTTAGTAGTCCTATAAATGAAAGAAAAAACAGTTGGTCAAATATAACTGCACATCAACATTTTTAGACATTTTGGTTACAGTTTAAAACCAGACTACACTGAAATTACAAATCCCTTAACTACGACATCTGGTCTTTGTTTTAGAAAAGTGCACCTCTATCTTTCTATTTTCCCAACTAATTTTTGCACATTTGTACAAGAACAGTAAAAGGTGAAAACAAGCAGGTTTGTGCCGTTAAGCATATCAAGAAATCGATGAAAACACACACAGAAAAAGCACATACCTTGAGGCCGTCGTGAACCCGTATCAAGCAAGTGGCTCTCATCCCTGGAGACAACGTTCCATTGGCAGTGGCCGCAGAGAAGATGAGCTGCATGTTCTCGCACATGACCCTCATGTTCTCCATTCTGTACATCATGTTTTGCGCAGTGAAATTCGCCTTGAGCGCGAGCCTGAGGCTAAAAACCACCATTCCATTACCATGATCCTGCTCCAGGGTCGGCAGCACCCATCCCTGAACCTTCTTCTCATCGATATTATGCTCGACCGGCATACTGAAGTTAAACTCCGTGTGTTGCATCTGTCCCACATGGAAGGGCCTCACTGCAGATATCCCGAGCAGAGCCTCCTTGTAGAAAATGGTGGACATGACTCGATCGAAGCTGATGGCGAGGTCCTTGTTGGCGTTTGTGACCGAGAAGCCCACGTCCCATGTGCCTGTCAGGGTCGAGTTTGAGACGGTGAAGTTGGAGACTTTGAGTGAGGCGACGTTGAATTCCGGGACGTATGTCCCGAAGGACAACCACACGACGAGGGTCATCAAGCACATGATGGTCACGAGGACTGACATGAGGACGAGCATTAGACGGCCGAACGAAGACGATGAACTGTCCCTGCCGTCAGAAACCAACGTCTTATAATGCTGATGCTGCTGCTGCTGCTGAGGATAGTAGAAGTCGCCGCCTGTGTTGGGGTAAGGGTGGTAGGGATTTGGGTAGTTTGGGTAATTAATGTTGTAGGGAGGGGGGTAGCCCTGGTGGGGCCCACAGGCCGGCTGAGGGGGGAAAATGTACTGGGCTTGGTGGTACCTGNAGAGAATGGCCCTGGAACGGGAAAGGGACAGGGAGAGAGACAGAAGGAGGGGAGGAAGATTGGTGTGGAGGCTGACTATAGAAATTATAGTTGTGTGTGTTTTGATTTGTGTTTTTTCAGGTAGTGTTTTTTTTTTATATTTTTTCTAGGATTGTGTTAGTTTTATTCTCAGGGTTGAGAAAGGGTAAATATGAAATGAGGCGGGACGTGATCATTGGCACATGAGGAGTAAAGATCAACCATGTTAGTTATTATAGATGGCAGTGCCTAAATTTAGGACGACATGAGAGGTTGTGGAGAGTCAAAATAAGGGATAAATAAAATAGGGGAAAGGGAAATGAAAAATTATCTTATAGACTTCGCAGTTTTTTGTACATAGATTCAAATTAGGATTTGCCATCACCATATATTATCAAAGTAGTGCGGTATCTGTGCGACGCAGAAGCTAGTTTTATTATGGTAAGCATTTAGATTCGGATAGTTGGATGATTGGAAGAGTGTAAAATGCATGTATTGGAATAAAATAAAATGTAACTTATATATTATTAAACATATCCTTGTACACACCATTCATACCCCTAATACATATCCTGATTCATACCCCTAATCGAATGTATGGACCGGAGGCGGCCGCTCCCGGCCACCATCTATTGTTTGGTCTTAGGGCACATCGTCTATCACCACAAATTATATTAGGATTCTAGATAAGTTTAAATAAATCAATTAAATTATTTAACAGGATATATATTATACGATTTATATTATATGATTTATACTGCTTCTAGGAAGACTGCATAGCCAAATATAACGGAGATTGTAAAATGTCTTTCTCGATAATCTACAGCGTTATTATTATAAAATTATAAATTACTTAATTTAAGGAATGGAAAAAATTGTGCAACTGTATACCATCAATTTCAAATTTGTATTCTAGAGGATTAAACAAAACCCAAATTTGTAGGAAGTTCGAATCCGATTTCATTTTGAATATCAAATTAATATTATCTGACTCCGTTTTATGTTTAAAAAAAATTCGAACTAAAGAAAGAAGTAGCAAACTGATAAGAGATTTTTAAATTTTAATTTTCAATTTGAAATTGGGCCCGATTTCTATGCAATCTGATTTTTTTTAAACATGATATGTTGCAATTAAATAAAGATACATGTTATAGTATTTTGCCTAATTTCAAATTCCCGATTTTATGGTAAACAAATTTTTTAATAAAAAATGAGAGAATTTTGACTTTTACAAAATTGTCATGCCGAATTTTACCTGAATTAACCTGATTTCTGTGCAGTCTGATTTTTTTTAATAAACAATTGATCTGTTGCAATTAGGAAAAGATATATGTGACAGTATTTTGCCTAATTCGAAATTTTCGATTTTATGGTAATCAATTTTTTATTTTAAATAAAAAATGAGAAAAAATTTTGACTTTTGCAAAATTGTAAGCAACAGTCAAAATTTACCTAAATTAAATCCAAGAAACCCATGAATTTAGGTTGCATATATAGCTGATCGATTTTTTTGAAAATAATTTTAAAAATTAATTCAAAAAAACTGCCGAAATTAGAATAGAATAAATGCTGGTTGAATTTTCTTGATACTATTTTTGCTAAATAAGTTGGCTCTTTATATATATATATATATAGGGTAGCGCTCCAGTGAGAATGGTGCTCAGTGAAAGAAATAAGAATGCATCGCAGCCGTCCGATCGGATAATCCAACGATTAAAAAAAAGCCAAACATTTATACTTACTAAGGGCAAATTAGACATTTAAAATTACATCCAACAATAAAATCCACCCATCAGATCCCACCCACCCCCACGTGCCTATTCTCTCTCTCTCTCTCTCTTTCCCTCCCTCTCTCTCACACACACACACTTACACAGACACAAACACACACATTCCGTCAGTTCTCAACTCCTCCCGTCGGTCACAGTCCGCCGCCCCGCCGCCTGCAAGTGCCGCCTTCACCGCCGCGATCTCAGGGAACGTCGCGCCTCCACAACCGCTTGACCAGACCTCCACCGCCCGAAATCGCCGACCCTTCTCCAACCGATCCATCATCGGAGTTACTGTCCAGAGGAGGCACGCGGCGCCGCTCACCGAGTTCACCATCCTCCGACGGCCTCGAAATTGACCTTCAACATCTACATCGCCTTCATCGGCGTCGCCTCGGTGCCTGGATCGGCCGCTGCACCGGTTCAATGGAATCTCCTCCCCGTCAAAATTGAAAGCAAAATCGGCCTCTCCGACTGCTTCTTCTCTCATCCCGACGGCGGCTGGACCTGTGCCAACATCCGGCGAATGTTGTAGGCGCATGGTGGCGGTGGTTGATTTCTGAAAAATGGCCGGCGGGTTCAATTTGTGGTTGAATGTGTTTTGAGAATTAGATAAGTTTGAGGGACCTAATTGAAATTTTATAATTTTAATTAAATTACAATTGAGTTCATGGACCAAATCTATAATTTATAAAAGATTTATTTTTTTATATATATTGTTATACACATATATTATGTATTTTTAACCAAAAAAAATACTATAAAATATTAAATTAGCACATAAAATTTTGAATATAATTTTACAATATAAATAATAAATTATTTTGATATTTAAATTACAAATTATAATATACAACAAATATATTATATTTTCAATTAAAAATAAATTAAATATTAAATAAAAAAATTAGAATAATAAATATAGTTTTATAAAAAATAGTTGCAATTTGAGTGCACATTAATGTTAGAAGTAGTGCACATTAGCAATCATTGTATTGCACAATAGTTGCTGAAACAGTCATACACAGTCTTATGTTCGAAATTTATATTTTGGGTCGATTATTTATTTTTACTTTTAAAATTTTAGTTTAGTTGTTGTTTAAAATATTTGAAACTACCGAACTATATAAATAAAATATTATTTTGTTAAATATATATATATATATATATATTAGGTATTTACAACAAAAATAATATAAAATTTTACGTAAAAATATTAAAATACTAAATATACTTTTATAATATAAATTATAAATTATTAGACTATTTATGTTAATTCAGCTAACTGATCAAATAAACCAGTTAATTTGGTTTTACTCTGGTTTGGGACAAATCATTAAAAAATAATTTCACTTAGAGTGCATATTAACGTTAGATGAGTTGCACATTAACGTTAGATGGGTTGCACATTAACGTTAGATAGGTTACACATTAGTGATTGACATATTACACTATAGCGGCAAAAAAAACGACCAAACTAAATTCATGTGTTTGAATTTTATATTTTAGTTCGATTATTTGTTGTTACTTTTAAAATTTTAGTTATTTCGGCTCAAGGTCGATTTTATTTTTTAAAGTAATCGAAATGACCAAATAGTATATAAAAAATATTATCTGTTAAATATATATATTTTAGGTATTTACAACCAAAATTAAGATAAAATATTAAAATACTAAATATATTTTTATAATATAAAATATAGATTGTTTAAGTTAGTTTATTTAACCGATCAAATAAACCGATTATCTCTTTTTAATTTGGTACCTGGCAAATCAATTAAAAATAACTGCACTTGGAGTGCACGTTACTGTTAGATGAGTTGCACATTAATGATTAACATTTGCACTATAGCGATCAAAAAACCAACTCAACTAATTTATTTTGTTCCAGTTTTATATTTTAGTCTGATTATTTGTTGTTACTTTTAAAATTGTGGTTATTTCAGTTCAAGGTTGACTTTATTTTTTAAAATAATCGAATCGACCAAATTATATAAGAAAATATTAATTTGTTATATATATGTCGTTACAGCTAAAAAAATATAAAATATTAACTAAAAAACATAAAACTACTAAATAAATCAATTTAAATTGTAAAATGTTTCGGTTAAGTCGGTTAACCGATCAAATAAATCAATTATTTTGATCTTATATCGGATTTGGACAATAATTAAAAAACATAACTACACTTCAAGCGCACGTTAGTGTTAGTCGAGTTGCACGTTAGTGACTAACAAATTGCACTATAGCGATCAAATTCGACCGAACTAATTTTTTAGTACAAATTATATATTTTGGATCATCCGTTTGTTACTTTTAAAATTTTGGCTATTTCGATTCGATGTCGTATTTGTATTTAAAAAACCGTATCGATCGAAATATATTAAAATATTATTTTGTTATAAAATTTTCAAACATAGCAAATAAGTCCCTAGTGTTTATCTAATTGTTAAAACAAACTCCCCAAATCAATTTTGATGTTCTGAAACAATAACCCTCTCAGCCTTCCATATGAATTCTCGGGCACCGTATGAATTTCTCAGCAAATACTCATTCCATGTTCCGACTCAACAACTCAATATCGTCCGGCGGCGGCGACAACGGCGGACTTGAGGTCCTGTTACATTTCCCGTCCGACGGCGGCGTATTCATTCCCAGATGCCAATGAATTCTGGGGATTATTTCGTCGGCTCAATATCCGACTTGCACGGGGCCGCCTATGTGGAGAAGACGAGGCATAGGTGGTAGCGGGGCGGATTCCGACAGGGGCCACAGAATCTGGTTGCCGGCGATGACCGAGGAAAGCGGACATGGCGGAGGTACTGTCGGTATCTAGCAACGGGATCGGCTTGGTGTATGGCAGCGGGCGGCGGAAGTCTAGTGAGAAAGTCCGGCGGCGGCGGGAGTGTGGAAGCTGAAGTTCAGCGGTGGTGATGTTGAAGATGAAGTTTAGCCGGGGAGGGGATCTCATCTTGTGTGTGCGTATGTGTGTGTTGAGTGCGTGTGTGACTGTGTGTGTGGGCTAGTGTGTGTTTTGTGCGTGATTCTATTAAATTACCTTTAATGTGTGGGGTCCACAATATGAGATGGGATGTAATTATCTGTAATGACTAAATTATCTGTAATGACTAAATTATCCTTAATGAGCATTAAATGACTAAATTACCCTTAATGAGTTTGACTTAAATTACTAATCTTTGACTTCATCATGACCATTAGTATGATGAATCTAATGGTTCATGATCATTCTTATTTCTTTCACTATCTACAATTCTCACGTGATCCTAACTCTATATATATATATATACATATATATCCTTTTTTGGGATAAAACGTTTTTGGTATATATATAAGTAAGTTAAATACTTAACTAAATATGTGTTAGGTGAAATGGTGCATGTTGTCTTTTGGATGCCATAGATCCCGGTTCGAGTCTCCCTTTCTACAATTTTTTTGTAATTCGCCACATCAGCAAAAAAAAAAAAGAAAAATTAAAAAAAAAATTCCACCTCAGCAAGCTGCTATAGCCGGTGTGAGGACATTTCTCACGATTTTTGGCACTTAGGGAACGTTTTCTAAAAGTGGGCATCGGAGAGGACTAAACCTCAATTTGGGTCCACTTACAAGACTAAATCTCTAATTTTTCCAAATGTATTATTTGAGATGTGGGATGACGGTTAAATAGACTGATTCGTCATATTTTTTAAATTAAAAAATATATTTTAATATGAAATGTCATACTTTTACTATTTTCTTATATTTAGATGCAATTATGAAAATATATATATTTGTTGAAAATAATGTAATATGCACGCGGTCAGTTCAATACTTATCATAAGTACTAATGTAATCCATTAGTCAAAGATCAACTGAATTAAGACTACACTCCAGTCTTTTTCCAAACAGTGGTTTCACCGCCTGTCTAAACTGTGAACATTAAATTTATATTTTACAAGGAACCGATAATATGATCTTTCTGTTCGACACGACGAACCATATTATCTACAATGTAAAATAATGGCGTTATGATTGCATAAATTCTTAAACTGCAAACATAAATACTTTGACTAAAACACGTTTGCTAGATCAAAATGGTATTGTTCATATCTAAAAGCCAAGCTTTTACAGCATATCTAACACTAGCCTATTATGCCAAAGTTTAGATGAAGAAAGTAGAGAAACAGACTTATCAATGTTTATTACGTGAATAGCAGTCTCATGGTTTTCTAAATCAACATTAGCCCAATGTACATTATAATTATAAGAATGAGAAAAAGACAAATGATAAAGTCCATTCTTGGCCTCAGCAAAACCAATCATTTATGTTGGTTTGCAGGTCCTGTAAAGTACAATAAGAAGAGGCAAAATTGACAGAACAATTATTTTATGAAGTTAGCTTTGAAACTGAAATAAGATTGAAAATGAAAGTAGGAACATAGAGTAAATTATGTAGCACAAGATTAGGTCCAGGTTAACCTGTTCCACATGACATGCATAAGGACTATGTCCATTAGGAAGTTTAATGGCAACTGAAGTTTTTAAAGGAGGATAAAGGGTAGGATCACAAGACATGTGGTTTGTTGCTCCAGTATCAAGAATTCAAATATGTTTATAAAAATTTTTGATGACTGACAAGATAAAGTAGTGATACCTTGCTGTTCTATGTGAACAGTGGCAACTATATGAGTTGACTCAGCATGAGCCTTTCTCTGTTTGTTAGCAACTGACTTCTTATATTCTATGAACTCAGCAAATAAATTGTCAGTCATGGATTTGTTGATTGCTTATGAGGACTGGAATTAGAAGTATGAACAACATTGGCATTTGAACTTGCAGAAGGATGAGAAGGGTGTATTCTAAGACCTTTAGGACCAATCCAATTAGCAGGATAACCAATGATTTGATAACATCTTTTAGTTGGGTTATTGTAACCACAAGGATCACATTTACAACTTTTGTTGTCTTTGGGTGCAGGATTTTTAAAGTATTTTGAAGTAGACTTGGCCAACATAGCAACATAATCAAAAGGTTTTGAGTGTTGTAAGTTTCTTTGGCTTTCTTCTAGTAACAAAAGAGACTAAACCTTAGATAAGGAAGGTAGAGGTGAGGACAACAAGAAGTGACTCCTGAGAGCAGAATAAGAGTCATTTAAGCCAACCAAAAATTTCATAACCGAATCATTTTGTTGAGCCAGAGTCATAGATTCAAAGACATTGCAAGAACAACGAGACATTGCACCACAAACACACTTAACACATGCCTGTATGTTATGTATTCATCCCAAAGAGATTTAAAAGCAGTATAGTATTGAGTGATAGTTTGAGAACCCTGATCCATTGAACTTAGGGGCTTTTCTAGTTAAAAAACTCTAGGTCCACTACTACGAGCATATCTGAATTTAATTTCATCCCAAACACTTTGACCATCTGAGAAAAACAGAAAAGACTGACGAATATACTTTGCAATCGAATTCGAAATCCAGGTTAAGACAAGATTATTTTCACGAACCCAGGAAACATGCTCAACAAGATGAGTAGTAGGGTTAAGAGTTACCATAGAACCATCGACAAAGGCTACTTTATTTTTCACACTCAACGGCGTAAGAACAGCACGATACCAGATAGCATAATTCTCACTGGTGAAAAGGTCAGCCACGATGACAACACCGAGATTGTCGCTCGCATGTAGATAAAACGGAGAAGACGGATCGTCAGATGGATGAGTCGTAACGGCCATATCAACAGAACAACATATCGAGTAGCACAAATCATATCAAATCAGATCAAATCTGGAAAAAATATAACAGATCGGTGATGATAAGAACCAAATTGAACTAGATCGAACAGAAAAAATAGGAAATTGGCGAGAAATAAAAAATCGGAGTTCGATCGAGATGATGATCGAACAACAAAAAATGATATAAGCAGCGGAAAATCAACCGGATCGAGTAGGTATGGTATCTGATACCATAATAAAATCATAAACAACAGCAAAATTTCATTGAATCGAGAAAAACTTGTACAGAGATGAAGATTGAGAGTTTTCTTCACACTGAGAAAAAAAGGGAAAAACGGGAAGAGGAAAAGTTATTTCCTCAAACCCTAAAAAGGGTATATATACTATGTCAAATACATAAGACTCAGAACTTCTAAAGACCTAAAATACAAAAGATGAAAAATACAAGATTTAATATAATCTAATAAAATAAAAATATAAATTTTATTTTTTTCTAATTTCTTTTATTCAAACATTTGTGCAATAGACATTCTTTCTCTATTTTTTAGTGCAGATTTATTTTTAAATTTCAAAACAAAAATATNAGAACGTATATATGGAGTTGTACTAGTCTAACTTTATAACAAAATCTTGGTTTTGGGAGATATTTCAAAACTAATCAAACTCGATGCTTCCGAGAAGTATATGTTCCGTTGACTTCAGCAAGACTTTGAAACAAATAGTATGTTATTGGTCAAAAGGAATGCGTTGCTACATTATCATCACAAGCTTAAATGAATGCCTGCTTGTGCGCCTGTGTAATTTTCATGCTCGTATTCTGTCCTTGATCACTTGGGATTCATCAAGAACAAAAATGGCAACCTTGGCGAACAGCAACCCGTTCCACTACATCATTAACGGTAACATGTTCGATGAAAGTCCCCAATGAACTTTTCTTTTTCTTTCCAACTCTGTTTCTAGAAAACTAAAAAATTAAAACCCATAAATTGATCTTGGGTGATGTTTGTTTTCCATTTTTGCACTCACAGTTGAGGACAGTACCGAGAGCTGGGCCTTGCCACTGTACAGAGCCTTGAACCACGGAGATTACGAGACTGTTGAAATGATCATAAGGCAAGAACCTACAGCAATCACATCAAGGCTGACCCCATTTGCTGAGACTCCATTGCTTGTGGCCGTGAAGGCCAGGCAAGGGCTGCCCTTCTTAAGGAAGCTGCTCGGTTTCATGCCGCCAGAGGCTTTGGCCCTTACTGACTATTTTGGCAATACTGCCCTTCATGCGGTGGCTGTGCTGGGAGACACTCGGGCGGCTGCTTTGTTTGTGGAAAAAAATAGGGACCTCCCAAATGTGTGGAACGTGGATGGCTGTTTGCCGATACACTTGGCGGCCATGAGAGGCCACCGAGAGATTACTCTGTATTTGTGCAGTGTTGCGAAAGAAGATGACTATTCGGATCTGTTCAAAGGCTCTGCGGGCGCTCAGCTCGTGCATTCTGCTGTCACCGCTGGATTATATGGTGAGCGAATAAATTTTTTATGAGACAAAATCGTTCCATGAAATATGTCATCCTATGTTTTTTGTCCCAGTTGATAGTTGGCTGAACAGGCTGAAGTTGGCATTAATATCTTGTAATTACTCCCTTCTAATTTTTCTGAATTTTTGCTCAGTTTTTATTTATTTATTTATTTATTTTTGTCAATCTCCTTTTAATCATCAAACACTTGAGGGTAGTTATCATGATCATCCAATAATCTTCATGTTTATTTAAACTCTGTGTAAGATTTTGTGATTATTGACGGGCTGATTGAAATTAAAAGCTAGATATGTCACTACCCAGAGCTTATAGTTTAATTAGACATAAGTATTAATCACAAAGAGGGATCAATTAGCTTTCAGAAACACAATATCCTTGATATTGCAAGGACAATCTATAGGCGATGAGTTGTAAATATCCAAAATGTAACATTGCATCTCTCTAAAATATTCATTAATTGTTGTACATGTAAACTTTTAGATTTTGCACTGTATCTATTGGAACACAATCCAGAGTTGGCATTGCAGTATGAGGACATCTCTCCCCTGGAGCTGCTGGCTCAGGAGCCTTCTGCTTTTCCGAGTGGAATGGACTTCAATATTTGGCAGCTGCTCGTCTATTCCTGTGAGTTTTAGAGTTTTTGATTTTGAAAATCGAATTTTTTTTCGAACGAAAATGATGTGATCTGGATAATTGCTTCTATGGAGGGTAGATAAAACAGAGTTCAGACTCCTATTCTAGTGTATTGGATGAATGTTGTAATTTTATTCATTGCAATATCTACAAGGCGTACTGTACTCATAACAAGAAAATAATGGTCGATAGCTTCTCCGTAATTTGCAAAAGGCATCACATAGACTTTCTATTGGGAATACAAACATTGTTTTTCCCCTTAATTTTTTCCATTCCACATTACTGTTACTACTAGATTTCTTCTATTCTGCATTACTGTTACTACTAGCCACTCGTGTTTGAAATTTAGGTGTTCCAAAGAAGCTGATTGAGATGCCCGAGAGTTTAGCAATCATGACGAAGTCACTAGATTATCGTCCTTTCACGTTGCATCGCCAGTGCAGGAATCGGTTTTCAAGAGGAAAGTACCGTTTTTACTTCCATTCTATCAAAGTTTCCAAACTTCTGTTTTATTTTATTTTATTTTCTGATTATTGATTCTAGTGTTAGGATACCTTGTGCGAGATAAAGGGGTTTCTAGTAATATAATTTTGGTACGTTAGATATAGAGATCGTATAATTGCCTATCTGGGCTATCATGTGGACGTGTTGATGAAGATATTGATATACATAAGTACTTTTAACAGTTTGATATCAAATTAATTTAACCTTCTGAATCTTGCATCATATGTATCTGCAGCTCTACAGGAACCATATGTGATACTATGGAAGGTGCTTGAAACATTATGTAAGAAATATGCAAATCAACCATTCTCGTCCAGTAAACTACTATACTCAAAACAGTTGTATTTCTTTGCAATTGCTTACAGTCGTGCCTATAAAGCGCATTCGTCACACTAAAGCCATGCACCATCAAGCACTCAAGATTGTAAGACGAGCGTGCTCGGAAATCAAATGCTTGGACAACTCAAAAGCTTCCTCAATACTGACGAGCCCCTTCCTTATAGGCGTGCAAAACGGCATCCATGAGATTGTTAAAGAGATTCTCGACTCATTTCCTCATGCAATAACCTTTGCGGATGAGGAGAACCACTCCATATTTCATCTGGCAGTTATGTACCGTCATGAGAAGATATTTAAGATTGTCCACGCGCAAAGCGGACAGTACAAGATGTGTTTGTCGCTGCTTTTGGATAACGCGAGGAACAATATTCTGCATCTTGTGGCACATAAACCCCATCAAGATCGACTGGACACGAGCACGGGGTCATTTCTTAAGATGCAGCGTGAACTACAATGGTACAAGGTAAATATCAGTATTCACAGGCCATTTGGTTTGGTATGAGCTTATAAAATTAGGAAAATGAGTTAAAATGCTCAAGAATTGGTTTTATGATATCTATGAGAATTGTAGAGGGAAATGAAAATGATTGCATTTCATGTTCAAATGGTGCAACATATAATAACATATCTATATTATTATAAAAAGACGAGTTATTTTATAAGAAAATTGTACGGACTAGAAGCCCTGTTTTAGCATATTTTTTTTAAGAGTAAAATGAAAATAACATAATGAGATGAAGATAAAACATGAATTTATTTAGGAATCGGTGATGATTTAAAGAGAAAACCTCCATGAAGCTTAAGCCATAAGCCAAAATCTCTCTGATACCGACCCAAGGAGAAAAAACGTGAACTCTTAGAAAAAAAAAAAAATGTAAACAAAATTTAATCCTTGATATATATTCCAACCAAGGAGGTGGAAAAATTCGTACTACCCCACGCTCGGAAGTCTAAGAATGCCGATGGCAAAACTCCGCTGGCGATATTCAACGAGCAGCACCGTGAGCTGGCAGCAAACGAGACACAATGGATGATGAGCATGGCGACCTCATGCACGGTGGCCGCATCCCTTATCGCCACCGTAGCATTTGCCGCCGCCATCACTGTGCCTGGCGGCAATGATGCCGGCGGCCTCCCAACCTTCGCCGACGAGAACGCTTTTGTTCTTTTCGCGGTCTCGGACGCTCTCGCCTTACTGTCGTCCGTCACCACCGTCCTTTCTTTCTTGTCTATCTTCACCTCGCGGTACACAGTCAACGATTTCCTTTATGAGTTGCCTAACAGGTTAATAGTTGGCCTCATCTCCCTCTTCCTATCCGTGTTGTCCCTTATGGTGGCCTTTGGCTCAACCATGTACCTCGTGGCAGCTCGGAAGAATGGCCTTCTCCTCTTGCCCATAGTGGCGCTGGCTTGCGTCCCCGTTACTCTCTTCGCCTTTTTACAGCTTCCTCCGCTTCTTAATATGATCAGCTCGACGTATGGTCCGAGCATCTTCGATTAACTTTTAATGTTGCTATTGATTTGTATCGAGTTAGAATGGTTTCATGATGTATTTCAGGATTCAATATGTATAATTGATACATTTGGTCATTATGTTGTTCAGCTAAATTAAGTGACCAAATTATTGTATAGATACATTGTCTAAGGAACTTAATTTAAATTTTGAAATGATTAAATGTGTAGAGATGGCCACGGGTTGACCCGGCCCGGAACTGGCCCCGGATACGCCGGTTTATGGCCGGTTCAGGGTCTATTTTTTTTAACTTTTTGACCCGCCGTGCCAGGCCAGTGCAGGGGTCTTCCAGCAGGTCGTTGTTGTTTTTTTAATTTTTTTTTTTTTTTTTTTTAAAACCGGCAGTTCAATTCCAGGCCCAACATTTGAGGCCCGCCGACCAGGCGGGCCGGTCCGGGTCGTGAACTGGCGCGGCTATTGATCACGTCTGAATGTGGACACCCGATATTATTATTATTTGATGACGTAATAAATAATAATATTAAACTTAAGTAACCTAATTAGAAAATAATTTGGGTCAAAATTAATAATGGTTGGAGTCCCAAAAAACCGTGATAAATAAAACGGCCGTAAGATATCTTCAGAAGAATAAAAAAAAATCGTCGGCCCAGTGCTCTATCCATCAGTTATCCTTCATTATGTCAGAAGAGGAATCAATCGACATGAATTCATCAGGTATGCTTTCGCTATTCGAGTATGGTTATCACTCAAACGATATGAATGCGTTAAATTCATCAATTGGTATTGGAGTTTCTTCATATTGAATATTTGATAATCAATTTTATTTTTTTAGATTCTTTTGTGTAATCGGTACTATATTCATATTCGGGTTATGCTTGAGTTATCTTATATTGGGTTGGCTATTGAATATAGTCTAATTCTTCTAAATTGAGTTATTGGGTTCAATTCATATTTGCGTCTGAGGAGTGTCTGCTGTAATTGTGCAATTGTTGATGAATTATTGGTTTAATACCTACGAAACTGTATAGATTGTTTGATTGATTCAGTTTCTTGAACCATGTTGGTTAATTACATATTGTTATTATGTTTATATGAAACTGTGGACCCAATAATTCAAATAAATTTCCTGCCACGCCTTGGGATCAGGATTGATATGCTCTGGTTCTAGTTTATTTGACAAGACTCATTGCCATGTATCAGTTAATTATTGGGTATTGATTATGAGAATAGTATGATTTAATTGCTAGGAACTCACATACTGGTGAGTTGTGATGGATTTATGTTATATTTCATTGTTATTATATTATTTGGTAACATATTGAATCATTTATTTATTAAAAAAAAATGTGGAAAAATAAAAAAAAATTGTGGAAAAAAATAAAACGGTCGGATTATGAGAATCCGTGTTTCAATAAAAAACGGATTCTGAGAATCCGTTTTTAATTATTTTCGACGGAAAAACGGATTTTGAGAATCCGTCTTCCGTTAATTACGTGATTACACTTAATTAATTCAGTTAAAAATGTGTTATTAAAATCCATTTTATGAAAACGGATTGTGATAATCCATTTTAGTACTGAACACGGATTTTCATAATTCGTGTTTATTTATTTATTTATTTTATAAAAAACGGATTCTAAGAATCCGTTTTTATGTAATTTTTTTTTTTTTAATTTTTTTAAGTTAGGCTCGACTCTTAGATGCTCACGAACTCGTTTACCAGCGATCGCGTTTATTTTAGTCGAAAAATAATTCTTATCCTTCAATATAAGATTCTTTATAAATTTTGATTTAACATTTTGAACACGAAATAATATCACTTTAATTTCAATTCATTCGTCAAATGATAAAATCTAGCATGCATACATACATGAAACACTATATACAAAAAGACAACCACAATTACCGAAAAAAAAAAAGTGAACCACAAAATATGTACTCAAAACCATCAAGAATAAATCTGAAAATCCAGTACAAAAAAAAAAAAAGAAAAAGAAAAAAAGAAAATGTCCACAAAATCACATAATACAAAAACAAACTAACTATGAGTAAATGTTTTCTTAGCCACGCGTTTTAGGTCCCTCTTCGAGGCCTCGGTACCAAAGAAGACGATCTTGCGGTCGGTCCAGGCGTGGCTGGTTCTTCTTCTTCTTGTCCACCTAATTAATTAATTTTTGTAAAAAATCAGTAACTCGACCGGACAAATAAAAAAAAAATATATATTTGTAGTTAAATAAAAAAATCTCACATTTTTCGTCTTCTTCATTCCCGGCGGGTTCGCGGTCACGGCGTCTTCTCCCTCCACCAATGTGGGGCGCCGGTCTATGCCTCGCCCGCTGAGACTGTGTATGCTGAGGTGGGGCGTACTCCTCTTGAGATAGAATTTGCTCCGATGACGCCCCTTGTGTGACCGAATGACCCCCAATAGTCAGAGAAGCGTACAGAAGTTCATGTGCTTGCTGGAACTGTGACTGCGCTCGAGGAGGTAGCTTATCAATGTGTTCAATGTTCGATAGCATGTTATACGCCCCCTCCGTACCCGAATTCTGCAAAATAAAATTCAAATAACTATCAAATAATAATAATAATAATAATAATAATAATTACTTCAATAATAATAATAATAATAATAATAATAAAAATCACAAATTAGCAGACACTTACCTGACACTTCTCCCGGTCGGCATATGGCTGCAACCCACCGTCCTGTGAGATCGCCGCGTAGTTGTTGGGGTCATTGAATAGTCTCACAGTCCTACTGTGATACCACTCAATGTACCCCTCTGTCGGCTGCAAGAAGGGATCCACCGGGACATCTGGGAGGACGTTCTGATCTCTCTCTTCGGTCCAGATCCTCCCAAGATCAGCATGGAAGGCACCCCAATCGGTGTATGCCCTCTCAGTCATGCCCTGGCCTTTGTGGCGGTTGTCCCAGTCGGCCAGACTAGTAATCGTCTGAGGTATGGGCTGGTGGCACCGAAACTGGCGGAGCACCCTATCAGGCTGGTGGGGTTTTGCGATGTTCCAGCAGAAGATCCACCCCTTGTACATCCAGAGATGTCGGTCTCGTGTACACTCGTCCGGGAGCCGACCCTCGTCTATGTACGTCTGATAGGGTACCCAATCGAATTGTAAAAAAAAAAAACATTTATGGAATTATTAATGAATTTAATAAAAAATAGAATTAAAAAAATAATAATTATTTATTATTATGACCTAAGAAACTTACATCAGTCTCTCTCAGGCCACTCAGCTGATCTCGGATGGTAGCGGTGCCCGTCCCCAGGTGCCTCATGTCCCTCGATCCCACCCACCTTAAAAATCACAGAAAAAAACTAATTGTAATTACAAATTTTGATAATTGAAATAACTTAAGTGTTGAATATAAATAAAGGTTATTATTACATTGCACCCAACGGACAAGCAGCCTGAGAGCCGAAATGTGTTTTTCTCATTAATGGGCGAACACGAGGGATGCGTTCCCATGCCCAAACCTGCACAAATGGACATATACATTTTTTAGCACATACTATTGTAATTTATAATAAATAAAATTAATTTGCAATTAAGAAGTAAATAAATTTACCTGAATTAACTGCACGCAGCTCTTGATATATTTTTCGTTCCTCTCGTAGGCGTCGTAGAGCGCTCTATATACCCCGGCCAGAAGCGCTCCACCCCAGTTGTACCCCGGAATGACATCGATGACATTCAACAGGGACAACCAGTAGAGGCTGACTCCGTTGGCTCTATGGTCGGGGAAGAAGAAGGACCCAATACACCAGAGTATCAGGGCTCTCGCCCTCTTCTCGTACTCTGATGTAGGGAGTCCATCCTCCAGAGGGCGCTTGCACTCCTCTTCCAGACTACTGAAATACAGGTACTGGCCATTTATGTTCCAAGTCTTGGTGTCGTAGTCCTGGTCCCCGTGATCCTTGAAATACGTTTATATATATATTAAAAACGACCCATGACTTAAGTATACATAAACACAATAATAAAAAAAATTAAAATAAACAAATAAAAGTTTTAGGTAAAAATATACCTGTACATATGGGAGGTACCCTAGAGCGTCTACGCAATGAACTCTCCACTCTTAGGGAGTCCGCTGTACGGTATGTCCCCAGCACGGTTCCCCGCTGACGGGGAGGCCAAAGAGTATCTGAACGTCCTGGAGAGTGATCGTGGCCTCCCCGAAGTCGAAGTGGAAGGTGTGCATCTCGGGATGCCACCTCTCCAGCAGGCATGTAATGAGAAGATTGTTTGTCGGGACCCGCCCGACATTCTGCTTGTTTCCCTCCAAGGCAGCCCGGAACTGGGTGTCCGCACGGCGTGGCTTAACCACGCCGTGGCGAAACCCCGGAGCGTCCTCATATACCGCCTTAGACCGGTGGCAGTTCTGAAGATATAGAAGTGACGGGTCACTGGGGCCGGGGTGTGGGTGTAGGGTTGATGGTTCGAGGATGACGATGCCATTTTCTGCAAAAATGACCGATATTGTAATATATTGTTTAGTAGTATTTTGCGTGGGTATATTGTTAAAGGAAACAATTTGAGGTATTTTGCGAGGGTATATTTTTTTCAGTTATTTTAATTTGTTCAACCACATGAGGCTAAGACAATAATAATTACGAATGGACTTGGGCAAAAGAAACAATTTGTAGTAGAGTTGAAAATATGTCACTTCGTTGTGGAATTTTTCAAGCTACCGATTTGGACTTATAAGGGTGATTAGGTTTTGTGTTAATTAGCTTTTTGAATATGTCTTATTTTTATTCCCGTTCAAAACCGGAGCAGAATTTATGATTTGTTCATTTCTTTATAGTTTTGATTTACACTCCCAAACTTTTTATTCAACAATTTCTTTTATATTTTTCAATATATGTGGTGTCTAAAAAATTTTTAATGTTTTTCAAATTTATCTTTTTGTTTTTGTTTATAACTGTATGTTTTTTCATTTATATGTCTTGTTTTATTTTTTGACCATGTGTATACATCTAATCAAATTTAAGTTATATTTGGAGCTTAAATCCCTATATCTATAGCTCAAAATATGTGGGCACACACTTAAAAAGTTAAGGAAGAAAAACATGATAAGATCTATTTGCTGCTAATTCAGTCAAAACCAATCGCACCGATTGAATTTTCGGTTACCCAATAATTCAATTTTTTCATTATATGAAAAATACCATGTTAAATGCAGTTTCACAATAATTCAAAGTGACGACAATCACTTTGATATCCAATTGCAAATATATATTGAATCGAGGTGAACACATAAATTCAT